GGGGATGCAAATGCTGTTCGCCCTGAGCGTGTTCCGAGCGGCCAAGGCTGACAACAAGCGCGTGAACAGACGAGACAAAGACACTGATCACCCCGCATCATCAGGCGCCTTCAACAGACTGCCCGGGCCAAGGTCGTTTCTGGAAAATAATCTGACAGCCCAGTGGGCCTTACCTGACAAAGCAATTATAAAATGGTTGAGTTATATTTGTATTTGAAGCTTTCGTGACTGCAGGAATTACTCTTTGGTTGTTTGGGTAAAGTCGCGTAGAAAGAAATTCAATTTAATAATAGAATTCGACGTTTCGATTGCAACACAAGCAGTCGTCATCAGGTACACACAGACAGACACACAAGCAGAGAGAGAGAGACAACACAGATACACGATTGCTTGTGCTGCAATCGAAACGTCGTATTCTATTATTTAATTTATTTTCTTTCTACGTTACTTTAGCGAAAGAACCAAATAATTCTATTTGTACATTTTACATTCCTAAACTTTGCACTCCGATCGTTTGTTTGTGTTGTTGTGACGTTCTGACCCCCAACTGGACATCTGTGAAAAACAAATCTTAAAACAAATCTTAAAACAAATTATAAAACAAATCTTTAAACAAATCTTAAAACATATCTTAAAACATATCTTAAAACACATCTTTAAACAAATCTTAAAACACATCTTAAAACATATCTTAAAACACATCTTTAAACAAATCTTAAAACACATCTTAAAACATATCTTAAAACACATCTTTAAACAAATCTTAAAACAAATCTTAAAACAAATCTTAAAACATATCTTAAGACAAATCTTTAAACAAATCTTAAAACAAATCTTAAAACATATCTTAAAACACATCTTTAAACAAATCTTAAAACACATCTTAAAACATATCTTAAAACACATCTTTAAACAAATCTTAAAACAAATCTTAAAACAAATCTTAAAACATATCTTAAAACAAATCTTTAAACAAATCTTAAAACATATCTTTAAACAAATCTTTAAAACATTTTTAAACAAATCTTAAAGCAAATCTTAAAACAAATCTTAAAACAAATCTTTAAACAAATCTTAAAACATATCTTAAAACAAATCTTAAAACACATCTTTAAACAAATCTTACAACAAATCTTAAAACATATCTTAAAACAAATCTTAAAACATATCTTTAAAAATATCTTAAAGCAAATCTTAAAACAAATCTTAAAACACATCTTAAAACACATCTTAAAACATATCTTAAAACAAATCTTAAAACATTTCTTAAAGCAAATCTTAAAACAAATCTTAAAACATTTCTTAAAGCAAATCTTAAAACATATCTTAAAACATATCTTAAAACAAATCTTAAAACATATCTTAAAACAAATCTTAAAACACATCTTAAAACATATCTTAAAACATATCTTAAAACAAATCTTTAAACAAATCTTAAAACAAATCTTTAAACAAATCTGAAAACAAATCTTAAGACGTATCTTAAAACACATCTTAAAACATATCTTAAAACAAATCTTAAAACATATCTTAATACATATCTTAAAGCACATCTTAAAACATATCTTAAAACAAATCTCATCGAATTCCTCCTGCAGTATAAAACCAGATTCTGGTTCGAGTGCTGTTAGCGAGTAGCAGCACCTAAGAAGATCAGCAAGGCTCGCTAGCAGGTGGGTGGCCAGCACCACGCACGGCCGCCTTTGTCTCCCCCAGTGCTGATGTTTTAACACACCGCACCAGGTACTCATGTAAGGCTGAGTCGACCTAGTGGAGGTCCAGAACTGGTTCAGATAATGCGCGTGGACACACACACTCCCGCACGACGACAAAGATCCTCCTGCGTAGACTTGCCACTGAAGAAAAATAATCAAGCCATGAGACCCGGTGAGCGGGGTCTTTGGTGGGTTTAAGAAACAACACGCGGAACATGACCCCCACCCCTCTCTACCCCCTCCACCCCACCCCTCTCTACCCCCTCCACACCCCCACCCCACCCCTCTCTACCCCCTCCACACCCCCACCCCTCTCTACCCCCTCCACACCCCCACCCCACCCCTCTCTACCCCCTCCACCCCACCCACCCTCTACCCCCTCCACCCCACCCCTCTCTACCCCCTCCACACCCCCACCCCACCCACTCTACCCCCTCCACACCCCCACGCCACCCCTCTCTACCCCCTCCACCCCACCCCTCTCTACCCCCTCCACACCCCCCACCCCACCCACTCTACCCCCTCCACACCCCCACCCCTCTCTACCCCCTCCACACCCCCACCCCTCTCTACCCCTCCCCACCGCCACCCCACCCCTCTCTACCCCCTCCACACCCCCACCCACTCTACCCCGTCCACACCCCCACCCCTCCCTACCCCCTCCACACCCCCACCCCACCCCTCTCTACCCCCTCCACACCCCCACCCCACTCTACCCCCTCCACACCCCCACCCCTCTCTACCCCCTCCACACCCCCACCCACTCTACCCCGTCCACACCCCCACCCCTCTCTACCCCCTCCACACCCCCACCCCACCCCTCTCTACCCCCTCCACACCCCACCCCACTCTACCCCCTCCCCACCCCACCCCTCTCTACCCCCTCCACACCCCCACCCCACTCTACCCCTCCCCACCCCCACCCCACCCCACTCTACCCCCTCCACACCGCCACCCCACCCCACCCCTCTCTACCCCCTCCACACCCCCACCCCACCCCTCTCTACCCCCTCCACACCCCCACCCCACCCCTCTCTACCCCCTCCACACCCCCACCCCACCCCACTCTACCCCTCCACACCCCCACCCCTCTCTACCCCCTCCACACCGCCACCCCCGTGGAATTGCAAAGACTCCGTGGATCGCTGCTGCTGCTGCTCGCGAGCACCAAATGAATCGCAAATGCCGTTGGCAAACACTCAATAGACGCGCGCACACGAACGCGCTCACGAGTCCACGTGGGGGGGAGGTGTGGGGGGGAAGAGATTGATCTGTGAGGATGGAGGAGGGTGGGAGGGGGTCTTGCAACGGCCTTGGAATGAGAGTCTCCATGGAGAGAGGCTTTTCCCGTCCGCGCCTGGGGATGGGAGTTTGACAGCGGCGGATGAGTGAGCCTGAGTGCGTGTGTGTGCGTTTGTGGACGCGTGTGTGTGTGTGCGTTTGTGAACGCGTGTGTGTGTGTGTGTTTGTGAACGTGTGTGTGTGTGTGTGTTTGTGAACGCGTGTGTGTATGTTTGTGAACGCGTGTGTGTGTGTTTGTGAACGCGTATGTGTGTGTTTGTGAACGCGTGTGTGTGTGTGTTTGTGAACGCGTGTGTGTGTGTTTGTGAACGCGTATGTGTGTGTTTGTGAACGCGTATGTGTGTGTTTGTGAACGCGTGTGTGTGTGTTTGTGAACGCGTGTGTGTGTGTTTGTGAACGCGTATGTGTGTGTTTGTGAACGCGTGTGTGTGTGTTTGTGAACGCGTATGTGTGTGTTTGTGAACGCGTATGTGTGTGTTTGTGAACGCGTATGTGTGTGTTTGTGAACGCGTATGTGTGTGTTTGTGAACGCGTGTGTGTGTGTTTGTGAACGCGTATGTGTGTGTTTGTGAACGTGTGTGTGTGTTTGTGAACGCGTATGTGTGTGTTTGTGAACGCGTGTGTGTGTGTGCGTTTGTGAACGTGTGTGTGTGTTTGTGAACGCGTGTGTGTGCGTTTATGAACGCGCGTGTGTTTGTGTGCGTTTGTGAACGCGTATGTGTGTGTTTGTGAACGCGCGCGTGTGCGTTTGTGAACGCGTATGTGTGTGTTTGTGAACGCGCACGTGTGTGTGCGTTTGTGAACGCGTATGGGTGTGTTTGTGAACGCGCGCGTGCGTGTGTGCGTTTGTGAACGCGTATGTGTGTGAGTGGGGAGCGGTGGTGTAGCGGTTAGCACGCTGCGCTACGAACCCGGCGACCCGAGTTCAATTGCCGCTCATGGCCACAAACACCAGTGAAGATTATGTGAACCGGTCCTGGGCGTCCCCTAGGTCGACTCAGCCTCAAACGAGCACTTGGGGCGGTGTGTAAACATAGGGAGACAAAGGCGGCCGGGCGTGGTGCTCGCAACCCATTGCGTCGTGTGTCGTGCCGGCCTTCACAGGTGCTCGCTAACGGCACTTGTCCCTACAATCTGTTGAGGCTATATGGGGGATCTTTGTCTTTGTGTAGGGCTAATTATGAATGTAGCTTGAAAATGACATGTGATGATATGCGTGAAGCAGGTGGATGTTTCGTCCTAACTATTGCGGCGTGAATGAGAAGTGGGTGTGGTTAATTGGCGTGGTGTCGCATGCGCTAATGAGTAAAGGAGGGCGTTTGTCTTGGCATGATGATTGTGGGACAGGAATGTGACAGCGCTGTGTGTGTGTGTCATGGGTAATGGGGGGAGATGGCTTGCGGTGTGATATCTATTTAATAATACATGGTGCATTATAGAGGGAGTCTCACGATGTGGTTTGTATTCAGTGTGTGCGAGGGGCTGGTAGCTGCCCCACATGATACAACATTGACCAAATACCACGGTGGAAACACCCCATTCAGACGTGGAGCTGAGTGGACTTGCCGATGACTGGTACCAACGGTGTCAAGATCGGCCTCTGTGGAGGAGGCTCGTGAAGGACGCTGCTGGTCAGTCGGAGGCAGTCGCCCTCCAACAACAACGGAGGGCGGTGGAGCGACGCTCACAACAACGAGCGGAGCGCCGGGCGGATACAACGCAGGGAATTGGCAGTGTGGGGAGCACAGCTGGTGCTGCGTCTGCCAGTCGTCTCAGTCAGTCACCCCATGACATCTGGGTCTGTCCCGTGACCTCCTGCCAGCGAGCCTTCGACGCTTCACCTCGCCTCAAAGTGCACCTAGCCTGGCACAAGCGCCGTGGTGACGTCACCGCCACTTAGCGTTGGGGGTGACGAACGAACTTGCTGTTAATAATCGGAGTGTTGGAGATGGTTCTGATGCGTGTGGCACGGTGTTCGTGTAGAATGCAGGCCCACGTGTGCATCGCTGTGCTGCTGCTGGAGCTGTCCGCTGTGGTGCATTGTGGGAAACTCGGTGAGAGGGCAGCACTCGTCTCGTGGTGGCGTCACGTGCAGTGGCGCTGTCTTTCTACGGGCCCCGTGTCCTCTCTCAAACACGGAGACGATCGTGGCCAACCCTCCATGTATTTAGCTCTGTCCATGATGTTACTCAATAATTTGATAGTCCATGGGGAATGTTATTCCATGGGCAATGTTAGTCCATGGGCAAGGTTCGTCCATGGGCAATGTTAGTCTATGGGCAATATTAGTCTATGGGCAATGTTATTATATGGGCAATATTAGTCTATGGGCAATATTTGTCCATGGGCAATGCTAGTCTATGGGCAATGTTTGTCCATGGGCAATGTTAGTCTATGGGAAAGTGTAGTCTATGGGCAAACCGAACTGAACGCACCCACACGCATCTGATCTCGGAAGCTAGCAGGCTGAAGCTTGCTTCACGCTTGGCTACCTTGGCTTGCCAGGTGTTTGTAGGGCGTGTGGATGTGCGGAGAGGTGACCATGAAATTGCATTCGCTGAGTTGCAACCCCATTGCAGGTGGTGGATGTCTCCGGGTTCTCCGCATTCCAAACAAAGCTGAGCCGGGTTCAATCCTGTTTAGCTTCGTTAATCAGAGATGGTATATTAACGCATTCTGGGTGATTGGTTGCAGGCTATAAAACTACCTGCGCCATTAATTAATGAATATGAATGATTTAATCAATATGAACGAATCAATCCATCAATGCCCCACCCATGCCCCCTCCGCCCGCCCCTCCCTGCCCAGCAGCACACGGAGAGGTCCCCGCAGAGGCCCCGGGCGGGGTGAGCGGGGGGGTCGTGGCGGCCGGGTGCGGGCCCTGGCAGTGGGGGCCGTGCGTCCCCACGACGGGCGACTGCGGACCGGGGAGCCGCGAGAGCACCCGGGGGGGCCCGGGGGGGCCCTGCCCCCTCGAGACGCAACGTTTCCGCTGCAAGTTCCCCTGCAACTGGAAGAAGGAGTTTGGAGGTGAGCGAGCCGACGGCGCAGCGTGCAGGCGGTGCGACCGCGCCGGGTGGGAGCGGGTGGGGTTGGCAATTGGACAAGGGGTGATACCATTCCATATCTTGCACCAGGGCCCATGCCAGACACGGTGTGTACGTGCGTGTGTTGAATTTCGTTCGCGCCGTACGTAGCCAGCCGGGCTAATGGGAGGTGCGGGGGAAGGACAACAAACTAAACACAAGGCAGGGATTGGGAAGCATCTCCTTAGCGTGGGCCGAATAGTGATTTACATTCGTAAAGTGGCGCATTTCATCCGTAGATCCCACCAATGCGCCACCGTGAACAGAAAGCCAGGAAATTAACAGACTCTGCAGGGTGAACGGGCAGAACGAGGGGGTAGAGGCCGCTTTAAAGAGGTGAGTGGTTCAAGCCAGACTTAAATAATGGACTCGGGTTACGAGACTCTTCGCACCTCCGATTAGCACGGTTGGCTATGAACGGTGCAAAAGAAGCTTAGCATAGAGGGACTCCTCTACTTATGAACGAGTTAGGTTCCAGAGGTCTGCTCGTAAGTCGATTTGTTCGCAAGTCCAACTTTACTCCTGTCGCTTCCAAACGTTGTCTGGCGTGTAAACTAAACACGGGGCATGACTTATAATCTCCTGTAGATATAGATGCCACTGATTCTTTATGTTCCGTAGATGGAAATGCCACTGGTTCTACACGTTCTGTAGATGTAGATGCCACCGGTTCTTCACGTTCTGCAGATGTAGATGCCACTGGTTCTTCACGTTCTACAGATGTAGATGCCACTGGTTCTTCACGTTCTGCAGATGTAGATGCCACCGGTTCTTCACGTTCTGAAGATGTAGATGCCACTGGTTCTTCACGTTCTACAGATGTAGATGCCACTGGTTCTTCACCTTCTGCAGATGTAGATGCCACTGGTTCTTCACGTTCTGCAGATGTAGATGCCACTGGTTCTTCACGTTCTGCAGATGTAGATGCCACTGGTTCTTCACGTTCTGCAGATGTAGATGCCACTGGTTATTCATGTTCTGCAGATGTAGATGCCACCGGTTCTTCACGTTCTGCAGATGTAGATGCCACTGGTTCTTCACGTTCTGTAGATGTAGATGCCACTGGTTCTTCACGTTCTGTAGATGTAGATGTCACCGGTTCTTCATGTTCTACAGATGTAGATGCCACTGGTTCTTCATGTTCTGTAGATGTAGATGCTACTGGTTCTTCACGTTCTGCAGATGTAGATGCTACTGGTTCTTCACGTTCTACAGATGTAGATGCCACTGGTTCTTAATGTTCTTCAGATGTAGATGCCACTGGTTCTTCACGTTCTACAGATGTAGATGCCACCGTTTCTTCCCGTTCTGTAGATGTAGATGCCACTGGTTCTTCACGTTCTACAGATGTAGATGCCACTGGTTCTTCACGTCCTGTAGATGTAGATGCCACTGGTTCTTCACGTTCTACAGATGTAGATGCCACTCGTTCTTCACGTCCTGTAGATGTAGATGCCACTGGTTTTTCACGTTCTGCAGATGTAGATGCAACTGGTTCTTCACGTCCTGTAGATGTAGATGCCACTGGTTCTTCACATTCTGCAGATGTAGATGCACTGGTTCTTCACGTTCTGCAGATGTAGATGCAACCGGTTCTTCACGTTCTACAAATGTAGATGCCACTGGTTCTTCACGTTCTGTAGATGTAGATGCACTGGTTCTTCACGTTCTGCAGATGTAGATGCAACCGGTTCTTCACGTTCTACAAATGTAGATGCCACTGGTTCTTCACGTTCTGCAGATGTAGATGCTACTGGTTCTTCCCGTTCTGCAGATGTAGATGCCACTGGTTCTTCACGTTCTACAGATGTAGATGCTACTGGTTCTTCACGTTCTGCAGATGTATATGCTACTGGTTCTTCCCGTTCTGCAGATGTAGATGCCACTGGTTCTTCACGTTCTACAGATGTAGATGCTACTGGTTCTTCACGTTCTGCAGATGTAAATGCTACTGGTACTTCACGTTCTGCAGATGTAGATGCCACTGGTTCTTCACGTTCTGCAGATGTCGATGCTACTGGTTATTCACGTTCTGCAGATGTAGATGCTACTGGTTTTTCACATTCTGCAGATGTAGATGCCACTGGTTCTTCACGTTCTGCAGATGTAGATGCCACCGGTTCTTCACGTTCTACAGATGTAGATGCCACTGGTTCTTCACGTTTTGCAGATGTAGATGCCACTGGTTCTTCCCATTCTGCAGATGTAGATGCCACTGGTTCTTCACGTTCTGCAGATGTAGATGCCAATGGTTCTTCCCATTCTGCAGATGTAGATGCTACTGGTTCTTCACGTTCTGCAGATGTAGATGCCACTGGTTCTTCACGTCCTGTAGATGTAGATGCCACTGGTTCTTCACGTCCTGTAGATATAGATGCCACTGGTTCTTCACGTTCTGCAGATGTATATGCCACTGGTTCTTCACGTTCTGCAGATGTATATGCCACCACCGCCATCTATTGCGAGGCGGTTCAACTTACGACTCTCGGTCCGAACAGGCAACTGGACATTCGGGACAGGTTTGTTCGTATCTCAGAAAGTTCGTAAGTCAAGTGTTCGTAAGCAGAGGAGTCCCTGGCCACACACTCTGCTTCACGCACGGAGGGAGTGTCGTTGGGGAGGTCGTGTATCTGTCGGGGCACAAACCTCGTCCTCACAGCCACGATCGCGGAAGTGGCGCTCGCAACATCGGCATGAAATTACCACAGAGTACAATCTGTAATTGCCTCGGCCGCCCTGTGGGGTTACCCGTGGCCGGCCGGCCGCTGGTGGTTGTGGCGGTTCGCCCGTGGCACCGTGCTTCGCAATCGGCGAGTTCAAATTGCAGTCAGAGGTCAACTCGGCTGTCGATGCCTCCCGGGTCGATAAAAGCAGTACCGCTTTGTGAGAAGTCAAGAGTGGATAATTTGTGGATTGAATCAACCTCGCAAATCTGAGTGTTGGATTTGCATCGCTGGCTCAGGGAAAACACATTGACTTTTTGGGGCACTTAATGACTCGCATCAGCTGTCAGGGACATTTGAACAAATAAGTAATTTTACGGTCAATTGAACGTTTTTAATAACAGAGGGCAGAGTCTCCAATTGGCTGTGGAGAGCAGGGAGAGGATTGTGGGAGTGGTTGGGGAATTGCGTTGGAGTGAGCGATGGGTGTTTGGGGAGAACAGAGCGGGAAGAGATGTAATTTCTCCTGCTCAGGGCAGATGAGAGATGATGAGAGCCGGGAGGCACAGGGGGAGACAAGGAGAGATGGACACAGAAGAGAGACACATACTGAGAGAGAGAGACACAAACATGAGAGACACACGGTGAGCCATGGAGAGACAGACACTGAGAGGGGCAGACACAGGGAGATACACCGACAGAGAATCAGGAGAGATATCAATGCCAGGACAGACGCATGCAGAAAAAGAGAGACACAGCCTAAAGAAGACGGAGCCAGCAACAGAGAGGGGGAGGCCAACTCGAGAGAGACACAGACGGAGAGTCGGTGACCCCGAGAGGAAAAGTGGGACCGCAGTGCGATGCCTCGAGACTCAGACAGCGCCACTCCTCCCCCTCCTCCTCCTCCCCCCTCCTCCTCCCCCTCCTCCTCCTCCCCCTCCTCCTCCTCCCCCCCCCCTCCTCCTCCCCCTCCTCCTCCTCCCCCTCCTCCTCCTCCCCCTCCTCCTCCTCCTCCTCCTCCCCCTCCTCCTCCTCCCCCCCCTCCCCCCCCTCCTCCTCCCCCTCCTCCTCCTCCCCCTCCTCCTCTCCCTCCTCCTCCCCCTCCTCCTCTCCCTTCTCCTCCCCCTCCTCCTCCTCGCAGCCACTGGCGGCGGAACCGTCAAGCGCGTCATCAGTAGCGAGCGGTCGGTTACATTAGAAGGGAGAGCGGCGGGGGAGGGGAGGAGTGAGGGGGGGAGGGGAGGAGTGAGGGGGGAGGGGAGGAGTCAGGGGGGAGGGGAGGAGTGACGGGGGAGGAGTGACGGGGGAGGGGAGGAGGGAGGGGGGGAGGGAGGGGAGGAGTGAGGGGGGAGGGGGGGAGTGAGGGGGAGGGGAGGGGTGAGGGGGGAGGGGAGGAGTGAGGGGAGGAGTGAGGGGGAGGGGAAGAGTGAGGGGAGAGGGGAGGGGTGAGGGGGGAGGGAAGGAGTGAGGGGGGAGGGGAGGAGTCAGGGGGGAGGGGAGGAGTGAGGGGGGAGGAGTGACGGGGGAGGGGAAGAGTGAGGGGAGAGGGGAGGGGTGAGGGGGGAGGGAAGGAGTGAGGGGGGAGGGGAGGAGTCAGGGGGGAGGGGAGGAGTGAGGGGGGAGGAGTGACGGGGGAGGGGAGGAGGGAGGGGGGGAAGGAGGGGAGGAGTGGGGGGGGGAGGGGGGGAGTGAGGGGGAGGGGAGGGGTGAGGGGGGAGGGGAGGAGTGAGGAGTGAAGGGAGGAGTGAGGGGGAGGGGAGGAGTGAGGGGAGAGGGGAGGGGTGAGGGGGGAGGGGAGGAGTGAGGGGGGAGGGAGGGGGGAGGGGAGGAGTGAGGAGTGAGGGGAGGAGTGAGGGGGGAGGAGTGAGGGGGAGGGGAGGAGTGAGGGGGGAGGGGAGGGGTGAGGGGGGAGGGGAGAGGTGAGGGGGGAGGGGAGGAGTGAGGGGGAGGGGAGGGGTGAGGGGGGAGGGGAGGAGTGAGGGGGAGGGGAGGGGTGAGGGGGGAGGGGAGGAGTGAGGGGGAGGGGAGGGGTGAGGGGGGAGGGGAGGAGTGAGGGGGGAGGGGAGGAGTGAGGGGGGAGGGGAGGAGTGAGGAGTGAGGGGGGGAGGGGGGATGGGAGGAGTGAGGGGGAGGGGTGGAGGAGTGTTCTGACGTTCCATGTTCAATGTCTCTGCGGGCTCCTCCGCCTCCTCCCACGGACCGTGCACCGCACAGCCCGCGGGTGGTGGGAGGGGGGAGCTCGTCCATGGGTGTCCCCGCTGTGTGGGGTGGGGGCTGCTGTGTGGGGTGGGGGCTGCTGTGTGTGGGGTGGGGGCTGCTGTGTGGGGTGGCGGCTGCTGAGTGGGGTGGGGGCTGCTGTGTGTGGGGTGGGGGTTGCTGTGTGGGGTGGGGGCTGCTGTGTGTGGGGTGGGGGCTGCTGTGTGTGGGGTGGGGGCTGCTGTGTGGGGTGGGGGCTGCTGTGTGGGGTGGGGGCTGCTGTGTGTGGGGTGGGGGTTGCTGTGTGGGGTGGGGGCTGCTGTGTGTGGGGTGGGGGTTGCTGTGTGTGGGGTGGGGGCTGCTGTGTGAGTGGGGTGGGGGCTGCTGTGTGTGGGGTGGGGGCTGCTGTGTGGGGTGGGGGTTGCTGTGTGGGGTGGGGGTTGCTGAGTGGGGTGGGGGTTGCTGAGTGGGGTGGGGGCTGCTGAGTGCTGCGTTGTGAACGCGGCCTCCCGCTCAGCTCACGTCCAACACCGCCAGTGACGATTTTCTGAATCGGTCCTGGGCCTCCCCTAGGTCGACGCAGCCTCAACCGAGTACCTGGTGCGATGTGTAGCAAAACATGAACACGAGAGGGAGACCGTCGTCGGTGCCGCTCGCACACTGCACTTGACCCACCGGTCTGCCGAGGCTATCCGGCGGGGCCGTCGGGCTGTGCGTGATCTTTTGTCTTTGTGTTCGCAGCTGACTGCAAGTACCACTTCGAGTCGTGGGGGGAGTGCGAGCGAGAGGCGCGCGTCAAGTGGCGCACGGGGACCCTGAAGCGCGCCCTGCACGGCGCCACGTGCGCCGCCAGCGTGCGAGCGCGCAAGCCGTGCAGGGCGCAGCGCCCCGCGGGGACACGAGGTTGGGGGGGGGCATGGGGGGGGGAGACACGGGGGGGGAGACACGGGGGGGGGGAGACACGGGGGGGGAGACACGGGGGGGGGGAGACACGGGGGGGGGGAGGAAGACACGGGGGGGGAGAGACACGGGGGGGGGGAGACACGGGGGGGGAGACACGGGGGGGGGGAGGAAGACACGGGGGGTGGGTCACGAGATAGAGTCACGGGTATGGTAGGGGGGTAATGGGGAGGTGATGGGGGGTTGATGGGGGGTGGTGAGGGGGGGGTGATGGGGGGTGATGGGTGGGAAACGATGGGGGGTAATGGGGGGTAATGGGGGAGGTGATGGGGGGTTGATGGGGATTGGTAATGGGGGTGGGTGATGGGGATGGGTGATGGGGATGGGTGATTGGAGATGGGTGATGGGGGTGGGTGATTGGAGATGGGTGATTGGAGATGGGTGATTGGGGATGGGTGATTGTGGGTGGGTGATGGTGATTGGAGATGGGTGATGGGTGATGATGCCACTCCCTTCTGACTGTCGCGTGCAGGCCCCAAAATCCGCAAGCAGAAGGGGGGCAAGCGGGGGCGGGGCGGTCCCGCTGGGCGGGGCCACGAGGCCCCAGGCGGTGACGGGAACACGATGACCACCACCACCACGACCACGACCACGCGGGAGACCGGGACCCGCTGAGGCCCGCCGGGTGACGGGGGGAGGGGGGGCCAGGTCGGAGCCTCGGATTGGGGGGGGGCGGGGGTCAGCGTAGGTCGTGAGATATAGGGGGGTCTGGGTCGTCTCGGCCAGCAGGAGACTTGGGGGTGTGGTGGTGGGGGGTGGATGGATGAGAGATCCACCACCCCCCCACTAAACCCTCACGTTTTATTAATGTTTGAATGCTTCGCTTACAGAGTAACTAATGATATAACAATGGATAAACACGACAGCGAGGGTACGAGGACACTGTGAGATGGGGACGGCACTGCAGAGTCAACTGCATACCTTTGTGTCTCTTCATCACTCATCATTCGCTCCCATCGCGATTCGCAAAAAAACAACTGTGACGCCCGTTCAATCGTGTTGTGCAACAATTAGCTGACCTTCAGAGAATTCTGTTTTTTTAATTGTAATTCATACCACATTACATTTGGCCCGATCACTGGCATTAAAGAGAAAGGTTAGGTTTTGATTTAAAGCTTTCGTGATTGCAGGGATTCATATTCTTGGTTCTTTCGGTAAAGTCACATAGAAGGGAAACAATAAAATAATAAAAATATAAAACAATAAAATGCTCACGACGTTTCGACTGCAACACAAGCAATCATCATCAGGTGTGAAAACCACAACAAGAAAAACCGCCACTTTTTTCAAATTTTCTTGTTGTGGTTTTCACACCTGATGATGATTGCTTGTGTTGCAGTCGAAACGTCGTGAGAATTTAATTATTTTATATTTTATTATTTTATCGTTTCCCTTCTACGTGACTTTACCGAAAGAACCAAGAATAAGAAAGGTCAGGGTTAAGGCCGTTTAAATATATATAAAAAAAACATTGGAATGATTTCCAAGAAAGAAGTAGCGACTGTCATTCTCTTTAGCGAAGAACGGGGGGCCCAAATCACGAGGAATCAGTTCGTGGCATTTTGGCGGATTGATATTTTGTGGTAGGACGATCCACATGCAAGTTTTTGTTGTTTAATAAGGAGCGACTATTTCCACCAGGTGCAGACTGCTGTGTGCATGGCTGGATGGGTCACAATCCACGACTTGGAATTCCAGAATTCAGCGCTTGTGGCTGTGACCACTCAAGACAAGTGTTGAGTGGGCTTAACGATGATGGCATTTCCTGGTCCAGGGTTCTTTGCTGCAGTGGGCGGTGGTGGTGCCACTGACACACACACACGCACACACATCGCACACACACCACACACACACGCACACGCATGATGTGTCTGTGCGTTTGTGTGGGTTTTGGATGGCATAGCGGTTCGCGTGCTGCGCGAACCGCTATGCCATGAGGGGGAATCGAACTCGGCGTCCCGAGTTCGATTCCCCCTCATGGCTTCCCCTAGGTAGACTCAGCCTCAAATTAGTACCTGGTGCGGTGTGTTAACGTCGCCACTGGGGAGACGAAGGCGGCCGGGCGTGGTGCTGGCCACCCACCCCCTCGTGTGCCGTTGCAGCCTTCATAGGTGCTCGCTCACAGCACTTGCCCCAACAGTCTGTTGAGGCTATACGGGGGGGTTGGGGGGGGTCTCTCTTTGTCTTTGGATGGCTCACAACTTTGGTCAGTCTGCGTGTGGGGCTTGCATCGTGACGTCACTCCACTCGCCCCTCGTCCCGAGCCTGCCATTGGCTGCCGGGTTGAGCTCACAGAAAGGCCCCGTACCAAAATTGCTGCGCGCGAATTGGCGTGAGGCGTTGGTTGCGAATTGCGTGAAGACGTTTTCTCGAAGTTTGGTTCCAGAGAACGCTCCGCTCATGCATTTTGGGGGTTCTAAGTTTCCCATTTAAACGGAGTTGTTAATTGACAGTTGAAATGTTATCGAATTAAGCAGATATTGTTTTTGTCCCGGCGCAGTGCCGTTTCGATCTTTTCGATAAGCGTACTCGTGCCGGGCGATACCTGCGGTCCTTTGAATTCTCCCGACAAACACGATGCAGTAATGGGCGATAGCCGCGCTGCATCGCGTAGCCATGCATGTCCTATTCATGCAAATCCTTCGCTGCCCCGAGCGTGAGATCACGGTGCACTGAGATTTCCACCGTCCACAAGGTGGGCTCTGCCGTGGGTCTAAGACAATAACTCGCTTTGTCGGTCCGGTGCAAACAGAAATCAATGTCATCATCACGATCCAATCCCGCCAAGCGTGCGTCCTGCCCTGCACCGTCTTAGACAGCAGCGTAGGCAGCGTTCCCTTTGCCACGCATCGAACGAACTGGCGACAAACCAGAGGCCCGCGTTGCTTAAAACATCAAACGCATCGCCGACGCTGCGATCCACACGCGGCGTCGGCCGCCGCCTCGGATTGGTTGAAGGACCTTAAAATTCAACTGTGACGTCATCGATACAAACCGTTGCTTCCCCACCCCCTTCTGCCCCATGCCACGTGACAGACCTGGGAGACGGGGCCCAGGTCTGTCGCCTTGCACGTCGCAGTGCTCGCCCTGCAGGGACCGCGCGCCGACCGGCACCGCGCGCGATGCGCTCTGGAAACTCGTGGCCCCTCGATTGCCTTTTTCTTTGTTTGAACGTGCGGTATAAAACTGTGAGTGTGGTGTAAAACTGTGAGTGTGGTGTAACACTGTGAGTGTGGTGTAACACTGTGAGTGTGGTGTGAAACTGTGAGTGTGGTGTGAAACTGAGTGCGGTGTGAAACTGTGCGGTGTGAAACTGTGAGTGTGGTGTGAAACTGTGAGTGTGGTGTAACACTGTGAGTGTGGTGTAACACTGTGAGTGTGGTGTAACACTGTGAGTGTGGTGTAACACTGTGAGTGTGGTGTGTAACTGTGAGTGTGGTGTAACACTGTGTGGTGTAACACTGTGAGTGTGGTGTAACACTGTGTGGTGTAACACTGTGAGTGTGGTGTGAAACTGTGAGTGTGGTGTAACACTGTGAGTGTGGTGTAACACTGTGAGTGTGGTGTAACACTGTGAGTGTGGTGTAACACTGTGAGTGTGGTGTAACACTGTGAGTGTGGTGTAACACTGTGAGTGTGGTGTGTAACTGTGAGTGTGGTGTAACACTGTGAGTGTGGTGTAACACTGTGAGTGTGGTGTAACACTGTGTGTGTGGTGTAACACTGTGAGTGTGGTGTAACACTGTGAGTGTGGTGTAACACTGTGAGTGTGGTGTAACACTGTGAGTGTGGTGTGTAACTGTGAGTGTGGTGTAACACTGTGAGTGTGGTGTAACACTGTGAGTGTGGTGTGACACTGTGAGTGTGGTGTAACACTGTGAGTGTGGTGTAACACTGTGAGTGTGGTGTAACACTGTGAGTGTGGTGTAACACTGTGAGTGTGGTGTAACACTGTGAGTGTGGTGTAACACTGAGTGTGGTGTAACACTGTGAGTGTGGTGTAACACTGTGAGTGTGGTGTGAAACTGTGAGTGTGGTGTGAAACTGTGAGTGTGGTGTAACACTGTGAGTGTGGTGTAACACTGTGAGTGTGGTGTAACACTGTGAGTGTGGTGTAACACTGTGAGTGTGGTGTGAAACTGTGAGTGTGGTGTAACACTGTGAGTGTGGTGTAACACTGTGAGTGTGGTGTGAAACTGTGAGTGTGGTGTAACACTGTGAGTGTGGTGTGAAACTGTGAGTGTGGTGTAACACTGTGAGTGTGGTGTGAAACTGTGAGTGTGGTGTGAAACTGTGAGTGTGGTGTGAAACTGTGAGTGTGGTGTAACACTGTGAGTGTGGTGTGACACTGTGAGTGTGGTGTGAAACTGTGAGTGTGGTGTGACACTGTGAGTGTGGTGTAACACTGTGAGTGTGGTGTAACACTGTGAGTGTGGTGTAACACTGTGAGTGTGGTGTAACACTGTGAGTGTGGTGTGACACTGTGTGTGTGGTGTAACACTGTGAGTGTGGTGTAACACTGTGAGTGTGGTGTAACACTGTGAGTGTGGTGTAACACTGTGAGTGTGGTGTGAAACTGTGTCGTGTGAAACTGTGAGTGTGGTGTGAAATTGTGCGGTGTGAAACTGTGAGTGTGGTGTAACACTGTGAGTGTGGTGTAACACTGTGAGTGTGGTGTAACACTGTGAGTGTGGTGTAACACTGTGTGTGTGGTGTAACACTGTGAGTGTGGTGTGTAACTGTGAGTGTGGTGTAACACTGTGAGTGTGGTGTAACACTGTGAGTGTGGTGTGAAACTGTGAGTGTGGTGTAACACTGTGAGTGTGGTGTGAAACTGTGAGTGTGGTGTAACACTGTGAGTGTGGTGTGAAACTGTGAGTGTGGTGTAACACTGTGAGTGTGGTGTAACACTGTGAGTGTGGTGTAACACTGTGAGTGTGGTGTAACACTGTGAGTGTGGTGTAACACTGTGAGTGTGGTGTGAAACTGTGAGTGTGGTGTAACACTGTGAGTGTGGTGTAACACTGTGAGTGTGGTGTAACACTGTGAGTGTGGTGTAACACTGTGAGTGTGGTGTAACACTGTGAGTGTGGTGTAACACTGTGAGTGTGGTGTGAAACTGTGAGTGTGGTGTGAAACTGTGAGTGTGGTGTAACACTGTGAGTGTGGTGTGAAACTGTGAGTGTGGTGTGAAACTGTGAGTGTGGTGTAACACTGTGAGTGTGGTGTAACACTGTGAGTGTGGTGTAACACTGTGAGTGTGGTGTAACACTGTGAGTGTGGTGTAACACTGTGAGTGTGGTGTGAAACTGTGAGTGTGGTGTGAAACTGTGAGTGTGGTGTAACACTGTGAGTGTGGTGTAACACTGTGAGTGTGGTGTAACACTGTGAGTGTGGTGTAACACTGTGCGGTGTGAAACTGTGAGTGTGGTGTGAAACTGTGAGTGTGGTGTGAAACTGTGAGTGTGGTGTGAAACTGTGAGTGTGGTGTAACACTGTGAGTGTGGTGTAACACTGTGAGTGTGGTGTAACACTGTGAGTGTGGTGTAACACTGTGAGTGTGGTGTAACACTGTGAGTGTGGTGTAACACTGCGAGGGTGGTGTAACACTGTGAGTGTGGTGTACGTGCTACTCGGGTCACGGAACGTGGCGTTCGTTCGTGCGTGGTGCCGTGGCCATCTCGTCAAGTCTCGTGTGCGTGCGTGTCGTGCTTTTAGGGTTCTCTTAGGGTTGTTTACGCATAATGTCGTATAATAACGTCATGATATACTCGATGTAACACTACGTGTGTGAATATTAACACGGCTTGCCGGGGGGCCGCGTACCGCCGTGCTGCGTGGCACGAGTTTGTGACATCGTGTGCCGCCTCCCGGCGGCTAGCGCGCTGACGCGTCCCGTGATTGTGCTTGTAACTACGCCTGACCCCACGTCGTGTTGTCTTC